CCCATCAGACGAGAGCCATGCAACCAGAGCCCTCACGACGAGCTCACTCACACCCATCAGACGAGAGCCAAACTGAAACTAACGTCTAGCTAAAAAGTGTTGGTTAGGATACAGAAAAACGGGAACTTTTATATACTGCTCATGGGAATATAAATTGTAAAAATTTTCCTTAGATAAATTTTACCAATGTTTGGTAAAGTTGAGAATGCATCTAAACTATAGCCCAGCAGTAGACTACTAGTATATTTCCTACAGATATATCTTCTAACAGGAGATCTCTCTCTCTCTCTCTCTCTCTCTCTCTCTCTCTCTCTCTTTATCTATCTATCTATCTATCTATCTATCTATCTATCTATCTATCTATCATCTATCTATCTCCTGGTAGGTAGATCAATCTCTAGAAAATAGATTTAATATCTGATAAATCTATCGATAGCTATAGATCTTTACTATATTAATATAGATGCCCGGTGGCACCTGGTGGCACAGTTGGGTAAGTGTTGAACTGCTAAACCTCAAGGTTAGCAGTTCAAATAGCCAATTTGTCCATAGGAGAACAATGAGACTCTGCTCCCATAGACTGACAGCCTCAGAAACCCCACATATGGATGCTAAACATCTATCGTGACTCGATGGCAGTGCATTTCTTATCCATGTAGATGTTGAAGCTGTGAGTCTGCTCTGACTCCTGACAACCTTACCTATGGCTGAACACAGCACTGCCTGACCTGTGCCACCATCACGGTTGTTGGTATCTTTGAGTCCAGTGTCGTGACCACTAGAGCAATCCATGTCACTGACAGATTCCTTAGACTTGCTGACCCTTGGCTTCCCCAACATGATGTCCTCATCTAATGACTGGTCTCCCAAGATGACGTGTCCACAGTGAGTGAGCCTGTGGCTCGTCGACCTGTTGTTTGTAAGGAGCATCCTGATGGCATTTCTTCTCAGACGGATTGATGTATTCTCTGAAATGAATTTAGCTGTCGAAGTGAAAGACAGGGACATTCACTGCGACAGGGTTTGGGATAGCAGGCAGTTGACCAAAGATGCACAGCCTCAATGGACATTTGTGTCGGAAAAGATGAATAAATCAGGGTAGCTCAATCAATGGAGTGCCAGAGAAGTTAAAATGAGGCGACTTTTGGACAGATTGACACAGATGACTAAAATTGAATGCCAAGGGAAACAGCAAGTCACAGAGTGATATGAACACTGTGATAGAATTTATATAATTAAAGAAAACCATGGCAGTCTAACTCATGTTATTATACAGATGGAATGGATGCAGCAAATTAATGATGGGGCTTCCCTTTCTGAGGAAAGTGGTGACAGGTAAACAATGGGACTTCCGTTTTACCTGCAAAGTTCTCTGCCTTATTTCTTTTATTTAAAAAGCATCAGAAGCAAATCCAGGGTTGTAAAAACATGAGTGCTGGTCACACTGTTTCCTGTACTTTATGCATGTAGATGGTGTAAAAGAAAGAAGGAAATCGGTCTCAAAATACATTGTCTACAGTGCTCCATTTGCAGCCTCATCCTTTCAAACGTATTCCAAATGCAGGTTCATAGGACTAAGTATGCTTGTGGCCGCACCTTTGAAAAGTGAGGTTTATCAAAGAATTTCCAGAGAGATCCCTGAGTGTGTAGACAGACCAACATAACTGGATGCCACTTCAACCAGAAATTTTTTCTGTAAATATAAACCCTTGTCATACACCATAGTTGATTTACACCAACTGGCAAACTACACCGATGTCAAAATATTGGCTTTGTTTGGTGATGATGATAGAGCTAAGTGAGCTAAATGGGCTGACAATTTGGCCCATTACTTGTTGCCACAGAAACGCTACCCAAACTGAGCCGGTATGTGATTTTGCAGTGCTAAAGTGGATCAGCGAATAGCTGTGCATGTAAAACCGCAAACTCAAATTTAGAACCGAAGTTGAGGTGTTCTGGATGGGACTGCAAGTTATTTGCAGAACTTAAATATGGGTTTCACTTCACTGTTACACTCACACAACAAGAAGTCCCTACGGTTCTGTAATGGAAGTCAAATGGGCAACCGGTATAAAGGACCACATGGAGACCATCCTGAATGCCTTAACAGCTAGCTCTTTAGCAACTAAGTTCATCCCTGGACGATGCCGTCCACAATAGAAATGGGGGCCATTAACCAATGCTGGCTGAGTGGATCCATTTCAAAGGAATGTGATACGCATATCAAATTAAATTCTACTTCTAGCGTCTGTAATTAAAATACTGTCATGTGCTGTTAAGCCCAGGCCTACGATTTTCTAACGTCCCATAAATATTTTCTGCATGATGCAGCCGTTGGTGTCCTCGAAGTTGAATTATTTTCAAACCTCAGGAAATACTCCTACATGTAACTTGTTAAGTGTGATTGGATTGCTGGTGTGTCCTCGGTGTTTATTTAAGGAGGCCTGTATGTCTCATGGCCATGGCCTTTCGTTTGTCCCTTTAAAGGTAAAATTGTATTGAAACGTTTCTGAAACTGTCTGCGAACAGATGGCCCCATTTAGGCAGATTCATTCACATTTAAGCGCACATTTTAAACAAATGTGCTTTTGGCACTAGGGCTGGTAATGCCTTTGGAAGAATTCAAGTGATGATTAATCACCCCCATGCAGAGAGCACTCACATTTCCTATCAGCCTGTGTGTGCAGTTCTGTGTGAGGCAATATGGAGATTTGAGAAAACACAGCATGGACTGGCCATCAAGGAAGTTATCAACTAGTTCAGGAACTAAAACCGAAACACGTGAAATTAACGTGGTCAATCAGAATGAGGCAAATATGTACTACAACACACACACACACACAATGTAATTTGTTTCCAGCACTGGGAGTCCTGATCTTCCCTAGGTTCTGAAACGTATTTGGCTTACTGTCCCATTTTCAGGGAGGGGGGCGGGGATCAGCACCCTCCTGGCCATGAAAGACTTTTGTACGATAGTCCACAATCTAGGATAAACTGTAGGTATCTGCTTCTGCAGCCCCGCTGGGTGGTTCCAGCGCCCCCTACATCAGTATGTCTCACTTGGAGAAGCATTGCTCAGGGCAGTGTCTGAGAATACTAGCCACCGTCACATGGAGAAAGCTCTCCTTCCTCCCCGGCCCCCCTCCTGGGATTGCAGGGAACCACTCCTCTTGTGTTCTCTTCCTCTCTACCTGCTCTATCTCCTATGGCTTTATTGGACCGATTCTCTCCAGTCCCTAAAAATAGGTGTGCTCCAAACTACGATCATCATATTTCCTCCCCTTGGGACACTCTTCTTCCATAACTAATCATCACTGGATAGGCATTGCAGTGCACTTACCTAAGCTCACAATTTACAATGTGCTGTCAGATGTTTTCAATTCCTGCTGCTGTCATTTGCTAGTCTTGAATCCTTCAGCGGGTTTACAGAAAATAGATTCTGGTTTCCTGTCTCCAGAATACCACAGTAAGACCTGCTTGGCTGCAAGGAGTCATACTTACATACCAGTGGAGAACTGAGTCTTGAAGTGGTCTGTGAACTGGGAAAGCCACCAATGCCCATCACTGTTGGTCTTGACTCTGTTCAGATGTTTCCCACAATGCACTTCTAACTTCAGCTTCTCTGTACACAGGGTTAGAGTTCCTATCACTAAGTTCCTATTGACTAAGAATTGTCACAAAATTCTCTTGCCATAATGTTCTTCCCACAAGCCTTTGTCATTATCTCTCACTCTGTCCCATGGATGAATATACGGTCCACCCTACTTGTGTTTATTTTACCTCCAAATTCTAGCCATCTCCATTATTAAGAAAATATCCTCTCCTTCCTTCCTTGTCTCTCCATATTTATGTTTGACCCTTCAACTGTTCTGTGCTCCATGAGGAATATGTTTCAGGCTTCTGAAAAGGCAAGAACCTTAGTTCTTTAAAGGGTTCCTTATGCAAATGGT